AAAAGGATAAAAGATGATGGACACAGCCTGACATGGAATCAATTTTCAGAAAAATTTGTCTGCTACAAGCAATTTAGGAAGGAGGTTTCTACCTGCCTGCATATCTATATATATATTATCTTTGTGCTGCAGTCAGACGGATAAACTGTTTGAAAAAAAGCAATTTGTTTACAAATTGGGTTAAATATATATTCGAAAACAGGGAGAATAATTTGGTCTTTATCCCCAGAAATACCTTTCCGTTTGAATAGGTTTGCAAATAGAAAATTAATTAAAATTCTAAAAGTTAAACGACGACCTTTTCATAATCGTATTTTATTTCAATTTACCTGAATCCAACTCCGGCTGGGAGCTCAAGGGAGGGAGCATCCATCCCCCAGGCATACACAATCTGATCTCCAGACCCACAGGGTTTATGCGTCTTTAATCCTGGTTGCTTTACAGCCATCTCTCCGCAGTTCCACAGAGGATCCTTGGATCCTAGATTTCAAGAAATTAGTTGTTTTTCATCCATCTTTTTAGATTCTTATATTTTTAATAATTCAAAGCTGTCATATTTAACCTGTTAGATGTAGCATTTAAAAATCCAACAAAAGTGCTCATTTCACAGAATCTTGTCATAGTATTATGTTCATATTTCTGGAATACCCCCCCCCTCCCTACCCCTTCCTAACCATTCTTCCCCCAACCCTACCTGGTTCCTCGCAACCATAAACTAGCATGTGGTGGGCTGTCATCTTGGTTGCGTTGGGTCTAAACCCGACTATATAGTAGGTTAGGTCTGTATCCAACCTGAAATATAGTAGGTTAGGTCTGTTTCCACCCTGAAATATAGTAGGTTAGGTCTGTATCCAACCTGAAATATAGTAGGTTAGGTCTGTTTCCACCCTGAAATATAGTAGGTTAGGTCTGTATCCAACCTGAAATATAGTAGGATAGGTCTGTATCCAACCTGAAATATATAGCAGGTTAGGTCTGTATCCAACCTGAACTATAGTAGGTTAGGTCTGTATCCAACCTGAAAAATAGTAGGTTAGGTCTGTATCCAACCTGAAATATAGTAGGTTAGGCCTGTATCCAACCTGAAATATAGTAGGTTAGGTCTGTATCAAACCTGAAATATAGTAGGTTAGGTCTGTTTCCAACTTGAACTATACTTTATCCTTGATTCGACAATGCTCTTAAAGATACCGTTGTGAATCGAACATGTTACTTTATCAATTGAGGTTCATATTTTGGAAATATCAGGACTGGGGTTTTTGTGATCATTCTTTCACGAATTTTGTGTTTATTCTTTAAAGATGTAAGTGTACAAGTCTAAAGTACATATAATAAGTATACCTGATTGGTGTACAAAAGTATGTTTCTGGTAGATCTGGTTTTGCATTAGGCATAAGAAGAGGAAACTCCTCAGTCACTAAACTCTGAAAAATTTAAAACAATTTCTATCAAAGAAGTTTACTTAGTTCGATAATGTAATTTTGGATGAAAGGATAAAAACAGAAAAATAGTTTAAACAAAGGATTATTTTGAATGAATGATATTATATCTACAGCGTCACAAACATAAACCATATGGTTCAGTTCAGCAGATTAGAATAAGTCGTAAAATATTCAGAAATTTTATGAATATGAAAAAAATGTAACATTTTCTTTAAAAACCATCTATAAAAAAGTGAATGCAAATTTACCTCTTTTTTTGCCTGAATTGCAAGAATACAGCCGAATGCTACCAACCATGGTGTACAGTGCATGTCTACTGTTCTCTCTGAATATACTCTTAAACTTGAACCTCGGTATCGATCGATCTACGTCAGAACTTCGTTTCTTCTTTCAACTCTACCTTCGTATCTGAAACATATGATGTAAGAAAAAATATTGATAAATTAAAGAAATAAATTTTGTTCTATAAACTTATTTTATTCTTTGTTGATGTTGTGATAAATATTTAATAATCATTGTTCCAGTAGGTTTGGGATATTTTAATATATCTGTTGCTTAAACCTACATTCTACAGGTGGGATCCGGAGTTAGCAAACAGATTAATATAATTTTTTTATATTCATGCGTTGAATTACGTATAGTTAAAATATATATATTTTTATATTCATGCGTTGAATTACATATAGTTAATATATATATTTTATATTCATGCGTTGAATTACATATAGTTAATATATATATATCTATATTCATGCGTTGAATTACATATAGATAATAAATATATTTTTATATTCATGTGTTGAATTACATATAGTTAATATATATATTTTTATATTCATGCGTTGAATTACATATAGTTATACGCAATTGAAAGGTCGTCATTGAAGTTTCATCTTTTGTGGGTAACCCTGTACTTGCAATAGTCTATTTTTTTAGTCACAAAAAAAGATGTAAGAAATTTTTTTTTTTGTAAAATAATGGAACATTTTTGAAACTTAATTCCTTAGCGTAATGTTTAATGATTTTGTAAATTAAAGAAGAAATAATACTCACAACAAAGAAATAATGGTAAAATTATTATAAAAGGGGGTGGGGGTGCTCGAAGACCAGTATCAAGATATAATATTTTAAATAGATAACAATATTACAATTTGAAGAAATATTCAATATTGACAAGAATTCATCTACTACAGGGTGTCCCACTAAACATGACAGTGGGTGAAGAGTTTAAGGTGTCTTTTTCAATAATTCGTGTAGTTATTNTTTGTCTGCAAATGGTTCTATTTAGTATTATTTCTTACACTCGTTTCTTGCAATTGTAAACGCAATTGAAAGGTCGTCATTGAAGTTTCATCTTTTGTGGGTAACCCAAATATAATAATGAACATTTCATCTGGCAGTCATATTATGTTTTCGTGGGATATCCTGTAGTTAATTTACGCATGTATGTGAATAAGAATATAACCAAAATAAAAAAAAATTGTGTTGTTCTTTTCATTTCTGTTTTAAAATGTATTCTTCCATGATTATGATAAAACCGAAGTCAATTAAAATATCAAAATAAATATGATTTACCAAAGATAAAGTATATACATCTAATAAGTATAAATATATACCAGTACATGTCAATTTGTACATTGAGAACCAGAAAACTGTGGAATGGGAAGACGACATTAAAACAATTCTTAAGTGTATTTGATGTTGTTACAAAGCAAATAGTTTTACTAGACGTATCAAATAACTTTTTAAGTGTGACGGGTCTGTTTACACTGCACAACAGCTGTGCTTCTAGTTCATTAGACTATTTAAAGTCATAACTTAAGAAGTCTAAAAGTCGTCTTACTATTCCAGAGTTTTCTGGTTATCACTGTTTATTCAGGATATATCCAGTTTATCTCCAGTATGCATACCAGCACTGATCCGGGGTTAGCTGAGGGTAGAGGTGTGGGAGAGAGTTGAGGGAAAACTGAGTAAGGTTCAAGATTTCACTCTCCAAGGTTTAACGCTCAGATACATGATTATCCTTGATTTTACCAGGATATTAGATCTACTTTCTACACAAAGATTAGGATATTAGATCTACTTTCTACACAAAGATCAGGATATTAGATCTACTTTCTACACAAAGATCAGGATATTATATCTACTTTCTACACAAAGATCAGGATCTAGTTTTTACACAAAGATCAGGATATTAAATCTAGTTTCTACACAAGGATCAGGATATTAGATCTACTTTCTACACAAGGACCATCATAGTAGATCTACTTTCTACTGCACAAGAACCATAATAGTAGATCTACTTGTTACATAAGGATTATAATAGTAGATCTACTTTCTACACAAAGATCATAATAGTAGATCTACTTTCTACACAGAGATCATAATAGTAGATCAACTTTCAATACAATACTTTCTACACAAGGACCATCATAGTGGATCTACTTTCTACTACACAAGGACCATAATAGTAGATCTACTTGTTACATAAGGATTATAATAGTAGATCTACTTTCAATACAAAGATCATAATAGTAGATCTACTTTCAATACAAAGATCATAATAGTAGATCTACTTTCAATACAAAGATTATAATAGTAGATCTTCTTTCAATACAAAGATTACAATAGTTTATCTACTTTCTACACAAGGACCATCATATTAGATATACTTTCTACACAAGGATCATAGGAGTAGATATACTTTCAAACCAAGGATAGTAATAGTGGATCTACTTTCTACACAAGGACCATAATATTACATCTACTTTCTGCACAAGGACCATCATAGCAGATCTACTTTCTACACAAGGATCATAATAGTAGATCTACTTTCTACGCAAGGACCATCATAGTAGATCTACTTTCTACACAAGGACCATCATAGTAGATCTACTTACTACACAAGGATCATAAAAGTAGATCTAGTGTATATGCAAAGACAATAATAGTAGTTCTACTTTCTACACAATAATTATCAGATCCAAGGTACTAATGCAAGGAAAGTTATTTCAGAGGTGTGCGCATTTTTTGTACTGCAGTGTACTGTTTTTGGGCGGAAAAGTAACCACAAGACGGATGTCACAGCCTGACATGGAATCAATTTTCACAAAAATAATCTATGAAATATTCTGGTCATAGGAAACGATTATGTGAATTTTCAAAATTAACAAAATTAAATTCTTTTAACCTCCTCGGATACCAGACGAACACTGATGCATCTATTCTTGTTTACAAATTCCGCCCAGAGAGAACTGGTTTCAATATATATGTACGCAGAGTATACGCGACCGCAATTAACTTTCCTTGAATTATATTAGTACCTTGATCAGATCTATCTTTATTTTTCAGGGGTCCATATAATTCCATTTCTGTTCCCAAATTTAAAACACTCCTTTGCAGTATACATTCTGCAGTATGGAATATTTTTCTACAACTTGACATTATACTTCCAATTGTTAAGAATAACAACATGGTTTATTTCTGCCCCTAATATCAATCTTTAAACATTTGGGATTGATCAGATGGAATTATATGGACCCTTGTTATTTTTAGGTTTAAATAAAAATTATTTTACCAATCATTAAAAATTGGTTTTGGTTCTTACCAAGGAAGATACTTGGTACTAAAGAATTCTAATGTAAAGATAATTATTTCACGGTGTACGCAATTTTAGTACTGCAATGTCTGTCTCTGGGCGGTAAAGTAAACACAAGACGGATGTAACAGCCTGACACGGGATCCATTTTCACATTAAAAAATCTATGAAATATTCTGATCATAGGAAACTATTATGTGAATTATAAAAATTGCCAAAATTAAATGCTTTTATCCTCCTCAGATACTAGAAGACCACTGATGCATATACTCTTGTTTACAAACACCGCCCAAAGAGAACTGGTTTCAATTTATGTACACAGAGAATACGCAACAGCAATTAACTTTCCTAGACGGATGTAACCGCCTGACACGGGATCCATTTTCACATAAAAAATCTAAGAAATATTCTGATCATAGGAAACTATTATGAGAATTTTCAAAAATATCAAAATTAAATGCTTTTATCCTCCTCGAATACTAGAAGACCACTGATGCATATATTCTTGTTTACAAACACCGCCCAGAGAGAACTGGTTTCAATTTATGTACGCAGAGAATACGCAACAACAATTAACTTTCCTTGCCTTATTGTCTTGCTTGGTATCTTTGTTGATATATCTCCCAGAAACGGAAAAAATCCGCCATGTAGTGAATGTGATCTGTCGTTTGAAGTCAATTAAACAATTCGTAATGACCCTTTTAGAACCTAAGATAAGCTTTTCGTTAGTACTTCATTGATCTACAGTACTCCTACCGAAGAAATAGTGGGCCTTAGTGTAGAGTGTTTAGTTTTCTGATCTAATTTCAAAAGCCAAGGAATTGTTAATCATTAGAATAGAACATATGAATTCCTTTGGGTCTTAACCAGTCTTTCCCATGGGAAAGCGAAAATGTGCGTATTCCGTAAAAACTGCCTTTCCAATTTCATCCCTCAAACTTTCTCTGGTATATTAGGAAAAAAATTGTTATTGTTAAATTTATATATATCTATACTTTTCGTTTTTTAATGCCAAATCATTATTCTAGATTTGAAATAAATTGAATAGAATAAATTACATATTTACGATTTATTTACATTAAATACATGATTATCACAAATGAAAAGCACCACTGAATCCTTTATGTTACCAACTTGTTCATCTAAACGAACGTTTTATCTGAGAAAGCTCAGGAGACTGATTAATTTAGTTAGAGCAGAGTAATCAGACCATTGAAAAATTGAGTGTAAGAAAATATTGGCAGTTTTGCAATTAGTAAAGGAAAGAGAAATTTAGAAGCACTTTCTGTGAACAATTCCGGGTCCAGACTCATCATACTCCTGCTTGGAGATCCACATCTGCTGGAAGGTGGAGAGGGAGGCCAGGATGGATCCACCGATCCATACGGAGTACTTCCTCTCAGGGGGAGCAATGATCTTGATCTTGATGGTGGAGGGAGCCAGGGCGGTGATCTCCTTCTGCATCCTGTCAGCAATACCGGGGTACATGGTGGTACCTCCGGACAGGACAGTGTTAGCGTACAGGTCCTTACGGATATCAACGTCGCACTTCATGATGGAGTTGTAGACGGTTTCGTGGATACCACAGGACTCCATTCCAAGGAAGGAAGGCTGGAAGAGGGCCTCAGGGCACCTGAACCTCTCATTACCGATGGTGATGACCTGACCGTCGGGAAGCTCATATGACTTCTCCAGGGAGGTGGAGGCAGCAGCGGTGGCCATCTCCTGCTCAAAGTCCAGGGCAACATAGCACAGCTTCTCCTTGATGTCCCTGACAATCTCTCTCTCAGCGGTGGTGGTGAAGGAGTATCCTCTCTCAGTCAGGATCTTCATGAGATAATCAGTAAGATCACGACCAGCCAGATCCAGACGAAGGATGGCGTGGGGGAGAGCATAACCTTCATAGATGGGAACGGTGTGGGAAACACCATCTCCGGAGTCTAGAACAATACCGGTAGTACGACCGGAAGCATAGAGGGAGAGGACGGCCTGGATAGCGACATACATAGCGGGAGAGTTGAAGGTCTCGAACATGATCTGTGTCATCTTCTCTCTGTTGGCCTTGGGGTTGAGGGGAGCCTCAGTCAGGAGGACGGGCTGCTCCTCAGGGGCAACACGGAGCTCGTTGTAGAAGGTGTGATGCCAGATCTTCTCCATATCATCCCAGTTGGTGATGATTCCGTGCTCAACGGGGTACTTCAGGGTGAGGATACCTCTCTTGCTCTGGGCTTCATCTCCAACATAGGAGTCCTTCTGTCCCATACCGACCATGACACCCTGGTGACGGGGACGACCGACGATGGAAGGGAAGACGGCTCTGGGAGCATCATCTCCAGCAAATCCAGCTTTGCACATTCCAGATCCATTGTCTACAACTAGAGCAGCAACTTCGTCGTCACACATCTTTTCGGATTTTTATTTTCCTAAAATTAAAAAGTTTTGAATACCAATTTTTAACAAAAATATATATTTCTTTTATCCCCGAACCCCTTGATTATGAAACTTGTCCCTACCTCCGCCTGTGTAGAAGTGACTCGTAAGACTGTTTGATCTCGAGTGCCTCTGCTAAATATTGAGGCTAAATATAAGAAGTGTTGAAGTCAGCAGAAAACAGCCCTCCAGGGTCCCCCAGCTGCCCGGCCAACCTCAATACTCCAGCCTGCCCGGCACGCTATGAAAGGCCAAAGCAGTAGGTCGGACCGTAATCTAAATGTTAGGATCATACCTCTATATAGAGCAGGAGCGGATTATGCTCCCAGGGATATTCATCCTACGAGGACGGATGTCTCGTTTAATAAATCTTATATTTTTCTGAAATATTTTTTAATATAAGATTTTTGAAGTATAAATTTCTCATTTACGCTTACAGTTAAATAAAAATATCGATTTCTTTCAGATATCTTAAATTGAAAAAATCTAAATATCTGATATTCATTCATGCATTTCTCTTTGATTTATCTTTTGCAAATACGGGTTCATCTAACTTAATCTCTTCATCTCTTTTTATTTTATTTCTTCAAACATTTCTTTATTATTTAGTTCCTGTATACACTCCGACCGTATCTGTCCTTGTTGATTCATTACTCCGACCCTATCTGTCCTTGTTGAGTCATTGCTCCGACCGTATATGTCCTTGTTGATTCATTATATCCATCTGTATCCGTCCTTCTTGATTCATTACTCCGTCTGTATCCGTCCTTATTGATCCATAAATCCGTCTGTATCTCTCCTTGTTGATTCATAAATTCGTCTGTATCTCTCCTTGTTGATTCATTACTCCGACCCTATCTGTCCTTGTTGAGTCATATATCCATCTGTATCCGTCCTTCTTGATTCATTACTCCGTCTGTATCCGTCCTTGTTGATCCATAAATCCGTCTGTATCTCTCCTTGTTGATTCATAAATTCGTCTGTATCTCTCCTTCTTGATTCATTACTCTGTCTGTATCCGTCCTTGTTGATTCATTAATCCGTCTGTATTAGTCCTTGCTTACCCATTACTCTGCCGGCATCCGTCCTTCCTTATTAATTTGCCTGTACGTCCTTGCTAATGTATTACTCCATTTATCTATCTATTACTCACCTGTATCCGTCCTTTATATTTCTATACTTCGCCTGTAGCTGTCCATTCTAATTTTGTTCATCCGCCTGTATCCGTCCTTGTTAATTTAATACTCCAGCTGTATCCGTCCTTATATATCAGCTACTCACCTGTATCCGTCCTTATTTATCTGCTACTCACCTGTATCCGTTCTTGTTAACTTAATACTCTAGCTCTATTCGTCCTTATTTATCTATTACTCACCTGTATCCGTCCTTGTTAACTTAATACTCCAGCTGTATCCCTCCTTATTTATCTGTTACTCACCTGTATCCGTCCTTGTTAACTTAATATTCCAGTTGTATCCGTCCTTATTTATTTGTTACTCATCTGTATCTGTCCTTGTTAACTTAATACTCCAGCTGTATCCGTCCTTATTTATCTGTTACTCACCTGTATCTATCCTTGTTAACTTAATACTTCAGCTGTATCCGTCCTTATTTATCTGTTACTCACCTGTATCCGTCCTTGTTAACTTAATACTCCAGCTGTATCCCTCCTTATTTATCTTTTACTCACCTGTATCCGTTTCCAGCGGTATCCGTCCTTTTTTACCTGTTACTCACCTGTATCCGTCCTTGTTAACTTAAGACTCCAGCTGTATCTGTCCTTATTTATCGTTTACTCACCTGTATCTGTCTTTGTTTACTTAATACTCCAGCTGTATCCCTCCTTATTTATCTGTTACTCACCTGTACCCGTCCTTGATAATTTTATACTTCGCCTATATATCTGTCCTTAAGCTAATTTGTTTCTTTGCTTGGATCCGTTTTTGTTGATTAATTACTCTGCATCTATATAACTAGTTGGTAAATTAATCTGTCTTGTTATCAATGGTTTATTTTTCCTAAATCTATGTCCATTAAAGGAACTGTGTAGTGTACATAATTTCAAGTGGCCCTCTGTTTTAAAAATGGCACGTCTGATGCACAACGGTGTCCTTTAATAGTTTTGTATGTTCAAGTATCAATTAAATATCCATGTGTTTAACTTTTTTCTATCGAGGTACCTTTATAAATGTGACTTGCGGATTTCTTTTAGCAAAACAATGGAAATAAATTGTAAGAATTGAATACTTTTTAAGCTAGAAAACAACGATATTCATGAGATAAAGGTTTAAAGGGTCCCGTTGTGAATGACGTAGGGTCACTTCGAATTGCATCAACAGTCCCTTTAATAATTAAAAAAATATTGTACGTTTTACAATTTTATGAATTTACATTACTAAGCTTTTTGGATAACTTTAATATATTTTACTGTTGCTTTGAAAGTCATTTTAAATGATTTATAATTTTAGCAGATTTTTCTTTTTGAATTGGCGGCTTTTCCCAAAAAAATTCCAAATATTTTCCAAAATTTTTTCCAATTTGGATGTTCCTTCAACCTTCCCTGGGGTCATGTAAGGTCCCGATCGGTTCAGCCGTTTTGACGTTTATTGGATACAAACGGACAGACTGCAGATAGACAAGCTAAGTATATATATAGATTTATTTTAATTGATGTATCAGATTTATCATGTTTAATATGATTGCGCCAAGCAGTATAATAGTAATAATCGACGATTATGAATAAAAAAAGCATGATTAAATACAATGTCTGAATAACTACTATTAAACTTTAGTCATCATTATAAATTATGAATAGATTACTAATTCTTGCTTATCTTCCCTTTGAATAATCTTACTATATTTGCATCCTGAATTCCTGTGTTCCTATTCACCTCTGCAACAAATGTTAACATTTTGTTTTCTTTGCTTTGAATTTAAAATATCCATATATGGGCATACAGAGATAATCTGTATATACTAACTATTACCTTGAAGTTAGAGAGAAAGACATTTGAAAAGGTTATCCAACATATCCTAGATACTAATTTCCATACTCTTCTCTTCTTTCCATACTCTTCTCTTCTTTTCCATACTCTTCTATTCTTGTCCATCGTGTTCTATCATTTTCCATCCATTCTATTCTTGTCCATACTCTTTTTTTCTTTTCCATCCCTCTTCTCATCTTTTCCATTCTCTTTTATTCTTTTCCATCCTCTTCTATTGTTGTCCATCATCTTTTATCCTTTTCCATTTTCTTCTATCCTTTGCATCATCTTCAATTCTTTTACATCTTCTTCTATCCGTTTCCATCCTCTTCTATTCTTGTTCATCTTCTTTCATTCTTCTCCATCCTTCTCTATCCTTTTTCATCTTCTTCCTTTCTTCCCAAATCAGTTTCTATCCTTTTTCAGTCTTTTCCATTCTTCCCCATCCTTCTCTAACCTTTTTCACCCTCTTCCTTTCTTCCCCATCCTTCTCTAACCTATTTCATCCTCTTCCATTCTTCTCCATCCTTCTCTACCCTTTTTCATTTTCTTCTATTCTTCCCCATCCTCTCTAACCTTTTTCATCCTCTTCCGTTCTTCCCCATCCTTCTTTAACCTTTTTCATCCTCTTCCATTCTTCCCCATCCTTCTCTAACCTTTTTATCTTCTTCCATTCTTCCCCATCCTTCTCTATCATTTTTCGTCTTCTTCCATTCTTCCACATCCTTCTCAAACCTTTTTATCCTCTTCTTCCATTCTTCCCCATCCTCTTATTTTCTGTTGATCCTCTTCCATTCTTCCCCATCTTCCTTTATCATTTTCATCTTTTCATCCTTTTTAATTAAAACTTTAAATTACCATACCTTCAACCATCGCTTCCCAATTTTATCATTCTCCTTTGAGATTCTTAATTTAACCGTCGCAAGCCAAGTTTGAGACGTATACTCCTTTTCCTTGTAGACCTTGCTCTTCTGATTTAATTGCTTCCACTTTTTGCATCCAGGTAAACCCCTCCCCCTCTCTTTAAATTTATTTAAGGAACTTGTTTGCAAAATCTAATCTTACTTCATTAATTTATTATTATTACACATATAATTTATTAGCTTTTTCAAGATCTCTAGATTTAACTTTCATATCAAGATATTTATGAGACTGAACAAGTAATTTTAATAAAATGGCAAGTGCGATTCACGAAGGTTGGGTCTAAATCTTTATCTGATTAAGGAAGAATGAGATATACTAGTTTTTGTAGCTAAACATTTTTATTTGTGGGTTCTCTGTAAAAGTTACTTGCTGATTTTTGCGGCAGAGACAATAAAAGAAATTTTCAAAATTTGAAACTATTTTAAACCAAAAAAACACGTAAATCGAACACACCACTCTATATATGGAGGGTCGTAGGAAAACATTTCCTTTAAAGGGTTCTATCTATAGATAAACCAGAAATAAACATCTTTAGATTTGGCAGTCTGATCAATACCTCAACTAATAAAAAGATGATTATTTAAAATCTTTAAAAAAGTTGTATATAAATCATAAATAGAAGATCTAGAATGTTCTCAAACCCAACCCCCCACCTCCCACCTCAATCCTCTGTATAATGAAGGCATGGAAGATGTCCAGATTCTGTTTGCCATTTCCCTAGGTTGTTTATTGAAAGGGAGGGGATTCTACGAGAACATGGGGGAATTCAATGCTTAGTTTTACCATATATGGGCATTTGCTTGAAAAGGGCTTTCTGCTGATTCAGCATCAGATGAACATATATATCTCAAAGGTGGGGAAAACATAAGGGGCGTTTCATCAAAACATAGAACTCTGTCAGGAAAGTAATGTATCAAATATTATAGATAAATCTTCGTTATAAAAATGGGTCATAGGTTCTAAAATAACTTCATATTAATTTTAGGTCACACACGGTAAGGATAATATGGAAATTG